ATTTGGTCCTTCTTACTCTTACATAGAAAACATGTACTAAAATGATTCTAAAAAACACATACAAAGTTATTTTTTGTCTTAGAAAAAAAATGAAAACAAAATAGTAACAGTCTTTTTTGACGTCAATTTGCCCCCGCGGCTGGTAATGCATGACGGCCCGGGGCGTTTGTAAACCCAAATCCATACTGGTCTTGTGCTTGTCAGGGTTTTCGGGAGAAAAGGGCTGTATTTGAAACTGTAGAGTCTTGAAAAGTGTATTCTGGCTATTTAACCTTGACGTTCAAGGTTCAGTCTCGGCCCGTTGCACACTCCCATATTCTTACTCTCTGCTTTTATATAGCTATATAGATATAGTATATATATATATTTATTTTTTCAGATACAATCAGATACAATTCGATTCTAACCTACAACTGCATTTTAATACATTAATTACATGTAATATCGAATTAACACTGTGCGGTTGGAATTACATTGGGACGCCAAATCTTCAATTATCATTTAAATCCTGTGCTTACACTGTGACCCTTTGTTTTTTTTATAAAGACTAATATCTTGCATATGAAATACAGATTAACCATAGAACATTGCTGGATAGATTTTTTAGACCATACGTATATATATATATATATGTACCAAAAGAATTCAAACTGTAATCAGGTTGGTGTTCCCTCGGAGGTAGGTGAATATACTTTAGACATGGAAGTCCTTGGTTGTGATCGACTCTTTAATTCTCTCTCTGAACGCTGACCTTTGATAATTGGGGTGAAGCGGGAGGACGGTGGTTAGATGTAGGCCTCGTCGTTGGCTGGGATGGGGTTTTCCGGTTGTTGTTCGGGTCCGTTCTCTTGAGTCCGAACCACCGATGTGGGCTGGATCATTATCCGAAGGCGCTGCAAACGGGAAGGAAAGTCGTCAGCTGCCATTTCAGGAAAGACAAACTACACTCCAAAACCCTTCGTGGGATTGATGGACATTGAGAGTATATAGACAAGTAGCCTATGTTATTTTTTTATCCATTTATTTCTTATTTAATTTATCCAGTTATAATGAAAAATGTAAATGCTGTTTAAACTTGTGTAACAATTTTTGATAAATAAAATTACAACTACACTAAAAACAGCTGGGTTGTTTGAACCCATGGTTGGGGCAAATAAGGACAAACCCAACCATTGGTTTACATTTACATTTAATAATTTAGCAGACGCTTTTATCCAAAGCTACTTATGAGGAGAGCAATAGAAACAGTTGATCTAACAATAGGATAACAATATGCAAGTGCATACTTCCCAGTTTAGTCTAACGAAGTTATTTATTTAAATAGATATAGAATAAGTAAAGAGAAAATAAAGTGTTAGTATTAGTGGATAAAGTGTTGCCAAATTCATTTTTCAATAAAAATGTTTAAACCAACGGTTGGGTTTGTCCATATTTGACCCAAACTTGGGTTGGATTTTTTAGATTGTACAGCAAAGAATGTACAAATGCAAGAGTGAAAGCAGAAATCATGACCTTGATTGGTACAATTAGGATGTAATTGAAGCCAAATCTAAAATAGTGTGTCAGGATTATCACAAGCTACGACCACAGTGAACTGAGATTGGTGCTCTGTGTTCCTAATTACCAGTCTTAGAAACCCGAGGTACTGGAAAACATCTTCAGCAAAATCTCTCATTTCTACAATCAGTCCAAGTCGTTGATTGCATGCTCAAATGGCAAGAAGTGAAGACTAATTGATGCAATTAGAATGAATCCAATAGCCACGAAATAGAAACAGTGCATGCTTCGCCCCATGCTGGAACATCTGCATTAATAATGCATGCAATCTGAATCATTTACCCCACTGTCGTCAGTGGAGATACTTTCATGTTCCCTGACACTCGCACCTGTGGCTGCGAGGACATGCAAACGGTAGCGATACCTCTTTATATGAGCCCTTCAGGGTGAGGAACATGTAGCCCATGTATCCCGGGATAAGAACCATGGATGACAGGGCCATGCACCAGCCCACGCCTTGCCCCCACTTCGGGAACACGTAATTGTTGAGTTTGAGCGGGACCATCTGAACGGCGCTGAAGATGAACACACCCTACGACAGAAGGAACAAACAGTCAGTCTGAAATTTCATCTCGAAAATGCTTCCGGTGCACAAAGACTCGGTGAATCAACTTACCCCCACAATCAAAGGAGTGAACACGACCCAGCACAGCTTCCACCAAATGCAGGGCTGGTAGCCAATCATCTCCTCAATATTGCCGTAGAATTTATTGACACCTGCAACAGGCACAAAATACGAATTAAGAGGCGAGTTATACGGTCACAATTTGGGTGTCGACGAATATTCGATCTGTAAATATTAGGGGTGTAACGATACCCTCATGTCACGATTCGATACATAATCACGATACTGAACTCACGATACGATATTATTGCGATACTCCAAGACACATGGTAAAAGGTTAACAAAAAAAATAACTGTTTATTTGTTTATTTATTATTCTGTTGATTAAAATGCTATATTTTGTATTAAATTGTGTGTGTAAACGAATAGTGTTGGACTTGGTGCTGAAACCCAAAACACAGGACAATAGAGACACCAGAATAACAATATTCTTGATTCTGAAGATGAAAATACTGAATTATTTCAGACGAATATGCTTTCACTGTCACTGACTATATATAATTAAAATAATGTAGGACACTTTTACTGGTAACATCAGAAATCTTCCATTATCAGGACACACAAATATATTGCATTATTATACAATATATTCAACATTATATATAGTAGTTTAATGTAGTACTGACACTAAAACTCTGAAAACTTGAATTTTCTCGCACAGTAATTGTTATTTTGGGTGAACTACACACAATACATATTGACAATATCCACAATATATATTGTTGTATTTTTGTATTGCGATATATTGTGACACGATAGCCATTATTATTCGAAAAATAAAAGTACTATTCAAATTTTACTACATTGCTTTGCTTGTCGTAAATCCATGATAAATCCCAAGCACTAAAACTCGCAGTTATAACTAAATGCACTGGGTGGCGCTGTGGAGCGTGTTTAAAATAAAACCTTAAGCTATGATGTAAGCTCGTTGTGTATATTGGCTAATCGGAAACTTGTTCAGAAATGGCGACAAAAACTTGATGAATACATCTTGAACATGAACATCTTTCTAGTTAAACGTCATTTAAATAAACGAATATTTGAATATTCGATTTGTATGAGCTTATATATTCGAATACAATATTTGTGACAAATGCCCATTCCTAGTTACAATGCATGAGTTTGTGGAGGATTACTGGAGGTCTGCGCCTCGCTTCATAAATGCAAATAGAGAATGGTGCTGTGGTTTGCATAATCAAGCCTGCCACGCACAACAATTAAGATTCTACAGGTTCATATTCATTCAAATCAACTGACTGTGGAAATGAGTCTGGCACCGAGATTAGCATGAATTATATTATCTGTGATAATAATTAGCATGCGTTGTGTGTTATGTCTGGATGTGAAGAATAAAAAGCAAATGAATTAATAATTACACAAACCTATAAGCAAAGCGTTCTTTGATTTCAATGATAAACAGATGAACATATTTCAGATGTATTCACTTTCTAAATGACGTCGTTTTCAAAAAATATTTTAAAATGCATGGTCACTTCAGATCATGCTTGAAACATCAACTTCTCAACGATGTAATATCGGCTTGGAAAAAGGAAATGCAGTGATTTATTCGAATTTTTTGGCATATTTACCATAGAACCAGGATATGGAGACGCATTCAAAGAATACCAGGAACAGCAAACACATTCCACTGGCAGAATAGTAGTCGAACAGTTTGAACACGTAGAGACCACCCTGTCGAGAGAAGAATCGCCTTGGTTAGCAAGCCATGCGGATCAGATGGGTTTAGAAAAGCACTCTCTCGTCTCGATGGGTGTGTTTGCGGGTTTCAAAGGCGCTTGATACATGGTAACAGCAATGAGAATTAGCAGAACAAGCTTTCTCTTCTCTGCTTTGTTGAGTCACTGGCCTGAAATGTATGCAGTATGAGGATTGAGCATTAATGCATATCCAACGGAGCAACTTAGTGAGTTTCTGTATTACCACATGCACTTGTGTTCTTTATTAAGTCTACAGGAAATGATGATGACAACCCATTTTACTTCTCTAAGTTAAGCTGCCTGTTCAAGAAGAAGAAACCCAATAGAAATGGACTGGATTATTGCAAGTTAAAGTTCATTGTGGATTCATATACATTTATGCTGACTTTAAAAGACAAACCCAAAAAGTCTTATTCCATTACTTTCCTGTACATCATCTAATCTTACCCTAAAGTTGCATCTAGATACATGTAAATCAGGGACTTTAACACAACCGTTTTTATTTACTTTATTATCTATTAAATAGTAATAATTGATTGCCTTTTTCTACAGTGTCCAAGTCTTCACTAGCTTTTATATAACAGTTTGAGGTTATAGAGTGGTTGAACACTTCAGATTCATCACATATCCCAGCAAAAAAACACTCAAATGCTTCTGTCCTATTAATGCAGCTTCAAGAGCTCTTATCCTGCCCTGTTTATGTATTTTTACCATATATCCCGTTACACGGTTCAGAATAACACCAGCCTCCAGCTCTCGATGTGAAACGGGTGTAAAGATGAGATGTGTGCATTAACCTGTGTGATGTTTGACAGGCCGATCAGATATGACACCAGGCAGACGGCAGCGATGAAGATCTCTCGTCTTCCTCGTAACACACGGGGAAACTCGTCCACGAGAGCCGTGATGAAGCCCTCCACCGTACAGAACTACACACAACACAAGAACACAAGATTAAAACATTGACTACGACCTGAACATGTGCTTGAGATGGTCATCTCTAAATAGACTGGTTTTATTCAAGTCAGAATCCAGAACATCATGCGTCACATTATAGGGACAGTTCGCCCAAAAAATGAATATTCTGTCATTAATTACGCTCCCTCATGTCCGTTCCAAGACGTTTGTTCATCTTTGAAACACAAATGGAGATCTTTTTTAAATGAAATCTGAGAGATTTCTGTCCCTCCATTGACAGTCTACGCAACTACCACTTTAGGTGAGGTAGTAAATTAATGCATCCTTAAAATAATCCATGTGACTCCAGTGTTTAAACCTCAATTTTATGAGTTGTCTGCACAAAAAAACAAAACAACAACCATAATTTACCACTTCACATCTACATTTATGCATTTGGCAGACGCTTTTATCCAAAGCGGCTTACATTGCATTTCAAGGTACACATTTACATTCTTATCAGTTCTTTGTTTACACAATATTAATCTTCAACGAGAATTCACACAATAACGTCTCCTCTCACGTCAACACAACATGCATGCATCGCGGTGCTCTCGTGATTGCACGTTTGTGATTAATATTTTGTAAATAAAGTGGTCAATTATGTTTTTTGCACAAACAATAAAATCGAGGTTCAACCAATGGAGTCACAATGATGCATTTACTACCTTTCTGGGGTTTGAAAGTGGTAGTTGCGTAGACTGTCAATAAAGGGACAATAATCTCTCAGATATCATCAAAAAGATCTTTTTTTGTGCAGTGAACTATCCCTTTAGGACATTAGGTTACAACAGCTGTGATTTTAAGGGTTAGAGAAGTGAACATTTATACTAAAAGTATGGTATATTTACAGTATCACAGTTCATTAAGAGATATAATTTGACTTGTAAAATAAATGAAGTACCTCCCTTTCTCTAGCTTAGTTTTTATTTTAAAAAGAATGGAAATGAAAGGCTACTTCAAAGAGACGTAGAACGACTAGGCCATATACGCATGCCTGTAAACACATGTACGGTAGTGTGCAAGTGTGAAGCGTGTTCTTTACCTGACTGTCAATGCCAAGCATGAGCAACATGGAGAAGAAGAGAATAGCCCAGAGTGGTGAGATGGGTAACTGTGTGACGGCCTCCGGATAGGCCAGGAACGCCAGACCCGGCCCTGGAGAACACAACACGCTTAATGCCGTTTCCATCCGTGCGATGGCCTAGACTTCCAGGAATACAGCTGTGACATACATGTATGTTCCCTTTTGCGTTCGCTTTCACTGTGTTCTGTTCCTGTGTGCCTGTGTTCCCTTTGCTAGTGTGTCTTCATGGTTTTTGATTGTGTTTCTGGTTACGTTATTTATCCCTGTGTATTTAAAGCCTCTGCTCATTCAGTTTCTTTGTCTGGTATTGTCTATGTTCTGTTTGAATGATTATTCTTCCTGTTATCTCCTGCATGTTCCCGGTTTGATTTATAATTAAAGACTTTATTCGTGATATTCTTTTGTCATGCACTTATTAAAGCCACTCAAGCCATGAGAAAAGTAATATAACATTCAAAAAATAAATCTCTAATGTTGGTCAGTTTTATTCACAGCACTTTGCATAGTATTATTCATCAAATGTTTGTTGAAAGGAGATGCTTAACCACTAGAAAATATTGATCGTAACTGTAAACCTCAAACTGGATATTAAAAATAGCCGTTTTATTTACAATGCATTTTATGAGATTGTAATATTTGCAACTCTGTTACTAAAAACCCTGATATGTCTGACGCTTGGTATTTTCATATTTTTGTTTCATGCAATATTTTTTATTCAATAAATGATCAAAATGTATATACAAAAAAAAAAAATTCTGATTATTATTTTATTTTACAATAATTTTGGTAGCAGGGTTTATGGTTGATCTTGCAAAATGCATAATTGAGTTTGTTTATGTGTCTTCATGTCATGCTGCAGAAATTAAGGGTCTAAATGTTATTTATTCATTTGTTTATAAAGGGAATAAATAATATAACAGACTGACAGCTGAACATTATTTTTTTTTTGCTTATTTCAATTAGTTAATAATTAAAAACACATTTTACAGCAGTGAACTGAACAATGCAGCAGATCATATCGGTTTCAGCACGTTGTATGATTTTGATTTTGGTTATTCGATGCAGTCGTGAAGATTGAGGCCATATTCATGTTTTTTTTTGTTACTAGTGACTGTGCTAGGTTCATTTATAATAGTTTGTGACTTTAATGCAAAAGAAATAAATCAAAAATCATGCACATATTCATGGAAAGTGCCATTGTTTTGTACAGTACTGCTCTCATGGAATGCAAGACTGCTTATAATTGCTCATTGACTAATAAAGGACACCAGATGCCAAAAGAAGAAGGTCTTTATCCAGTGATCAAGCTGAAACCCATCATAATTACCTGACGCAGCCACGTCTGCTATGGGCCGCTGTGTGATGTGAGCCATGAAACCTACGATCGAGAAAATGACGAATCCAGCGAACATACTGGTGAAGGAATTGATGCAGCAGACGATGATAGAATCTCTGAGAAACAGACCAAAGCATGGAAAGCAACGGTTTAGTTATGTATCCTACACTCTCAAAAATAAAGGTTCTTTATTGGCATTGATGGTTCCATGAAGAACCCATTGCAAAAAATAAATAAATGCATACCAAGTGGAGTTATTTTAAGAACTGATCACTGAAAGGTTCTTTGTGGAACCGAAAAGGGTTCTTCTATGGCATCACTGCGAAAACCCTTTATTTTTAAGAGAAGATTATCTATCTATCTATCACACTGAGGAAGCATTTTGTGTAGGCAAAAACTGTTTCAGAAATGCTTGGCTGTTTTGAGATACAAAACACAGAAAAAAAAGAAAAAAAGACTTGTCAAGCTCGTGTCTGTACAGATCAAATTAGAGTTGCCATTTTGAATGCCCCTTAATAAATCTTACAATTGCTGCATACTTGTAAACATTGTTGTTGAACGGGTTGTAGCTCCCGAGGGCGATGAGAGAGCCCAAACCCAGGCCGTACGAGAAGAAGATCTGAGTGGCAGCGTCCAGCCACACCTAAGAGGAGACATCAGCAGATTATACGCCTGTGAGGACATGTCTATTACGCTACGATAATTACACAGCGCTCTACCTCGGATTCTTTCAGCTTGCTGAACTCGGGCGTGATGTAGAACAAAATGCCCTCTTTCGCTCCAGGCAGCGTCACTCCACGGATGAACAGGATAAATAGCATGAAATACGGGTATGTCGCTGAGAAATACACCACCTGAAACACACATTAACAGCCTTGAGGAAAACGCACGTCTGCTTTGAGATTGTGCGATAACGGTAATCTAAAGAAAGAGCATTACGAGAGCTGCGTAAAGCATGACGTTATTTGCATAGATTGCGATCTCAAAGCCTTGATTGAAGGCCTAAATTTAAATTTCAGTCTTTTCGATTTGTTTTTCAAACTCTGAATCAACATGCACCAATGCTATATTTTTCTAAATGTCATAATCACGTTAACTAACAATGCATTGCTTCATTGGGCTCATTGTTTCTGCCTTAAATTCTTACATTGTTTAAATTAGTCAATTTTTCGCTAGCTGTGATTCGTATATGTACATTTCTGATATGCACAGTTTCCTCTGATAACAGATCACTCTAAATTGTAATGTGGACTCATACATTTTCTGTAAAGCTGCTTTGAAACGATGTGTATTGTGAAAAGCGCAGTACAAATAAATGTGAATTAAAAAAAAAAAGTAAATTAATTTTTTTAATCTTTTTGTCTGTGCAAGGGCTCTCTTACCTTTCCAGTCCAGCCTACGCCCTTCCAGATACAAAAATAGACCAGGACCCAGGCGATGGCCAGTGTTATTGCTAGTGGCAGTCTTATCTCTCCCGGCTTCTCCAAACCATCAGTCATCTGATGCATGTTCCGTCTGAGAGAGAATAAACATTATTAGAGAATGCAGATGAATATAATGCATATCTATCAACCCACGTAACCCACAAACAGAGCAAGTCTAATTGCTGATGCACAACATTCAACTAGGGTTGTTTGCCAAAAATAGCACAATAGCCGCATTTTTGAGAAACAACACTGCTTCTTTTACACGGCCGAGGACAAAAGGAAAGTGTTTGCATGTTGCTTGAATACCAAAACGTTTTTTTTTATTTTTTTTTATCCCTTACTCCCAGAACTCCACGACGGCGCTCGTCATGTTGATGGTGTTCGCCTGGCTGTAGTTTGAGAAACATTTGTCTGTATTCCAAGGGTTATCACAAGATTTCCAGGGGAGCTCCTGAAACAGGACATTTCAAACAGGACAAGTCAGTTCTAGTCTAGCCAAAGTCATGAGCTATTATGATGCCAGACCGCATGTACTTACTGTGGTGAATGAGTTATACAGATAGTAAATTGCCCATGCAATTATGACTATGTAGTAAATGTTAAGCCAGAACGACAGGACTGCTGCTGCCAGGCCAACACCTACGGAAACATATGCGCTATTATAACTCCATATTTCTGATCTTCTTTTTTTTTTTTTTTGACAAGGACACAGTGCGACTGAAACACAGCATCAGTTACACGCATCTAAGCAGGGTTTTTAGTAGTTAATCATGTGGGTTACCTTTGAACATAGGGGCCAGTTTCCACACTCCAAGACCCCCGATGGAGGTGTACTGACCAAGAGACGTTTCCAGAAGGAACAACGGGACCCCAGCAAATATGAGGGTCAAAAAGTAGGGAATCAAGAACGCCCCTATACAGACAGAAGAGTAATATAATGAGACACATTCAAAATATGCATCCGTTTATAAAATCCACTGTTTAGGGGATTGCGCTTCCAATGATCGCGCATATCCAGCGCAAATGTTATTGAGTGATTTTCGAAATCAGATTTTTTTTTTTTACTCCGTTTGTTTCGAGGGGGGAATAAATGGTAAAAACAACCAGGATTTTTTTTCTTTACCTCCTCCGTTTTTTCCGCATAGATAAGGAAATCTCCAGACATTGCCAAGTCCAATGGCATAGCCAACACATGACAGAAGAAAGTCAAATTTCCCCTGCCACGTTTCTCTGTCAGGAATGTCATTTTTCTTCTGAACTTTGACCACCAGAGTTTTTGGTTTATCATTGGCGGTGGACGCTTCGTTGACCTCTGTTAGCACGTGTCCATCGGAGGCTTTGGTGCCGTTCGTGGCCATGTCTCTGGGTTTGGTCCTGGCGGTCGGACGGAAGAGTTCAGCACCGGTCCACGTAGACAGCAGCTTCGCGGTTCGATTAACCAACGATTAGAGTCAAAAAACGCCAATGAAGCTTGACACTGACCTGGAAACCATTGAGAGAAAGTGGCATTAAGATATACACATTATTGTGTTCGTCACATGCATTTTATCGATACAATAATATTAAGATAAAAAACAAAACAAAAACATTGAATGAAATAAGATGAAATAGCATACTAAATAAAATACAATTTGGTGCATGTGAGTTTAGCGCGCGCGGCGTAAAAGCGCGTCTGTACATTTGTTTAGTTTTACATAACTGAAATAATTGATGATGTGCATTTCTGTTATCTAAAACTTCTCTGTGGTGGTTTGCAAAATAGTTAGGCTAGAGGGCAAATTATTTGCATGTATTTCTGAATTTAAATTATTCAAACGGTGGATTTGAAATCATCTTCTCACGAATACAAACGACAGATCACACGTTATGTCAAACCGTTCGAATAATCTCATCAAATTCTAATTTAGAATGTTCGAAGTTCCAAGCGTGCGACGCGTTTGCAAAAGCCCAGAGTTGCACGCGCACAGACCGGCGGTGAGCTCGCGCAGAAACACGGGCTCAAAAAGTCGCGCAAAACTGTCAAGTTGCTTTTTTTATCGGGATACATGAGCGTGAGACTAAAATATTGATTTAAAAAAACGCAAAACAAAAACTAAAATGCATCCGACAAACATCGCGTTTTACAAGCATAAAAGTCAGGCAGACGTGTGTTAAAACAGTGCGTTTTAGATGTTCAACTTTCAAATAACTCAGATTTTCACAAAACTATGAAAACAAACGCATTAAAATGACTAGTTTTATAGCAGGTAAATTTGATCTACTTACACCGGAACAGTTTTCCTGCCAGTTTGGTTGCGGCGGCGCGTATCCGTGGGTTCCTCTCAAATTCCAACTCGTGGAATTTTACTTGTCCAAACCAGTGCAAAATGTTTCCATAAAGTCAAGTGAGGCGAACAGCTATCCTGAGGGGAAAGGTGAGTGAGGGTCTGGTGGTCTGGTGCTGTCCAGTTGTGTGGTGCTGAAGGACAGGGGAAAGAGCCAGAGACAGGAGCAGCTCCTCTACCGTGAGCGTCCAGAGATGTTACATGAAGCACACACCGTCACTCTCAATGTCAGCTCAAAGTCGACCCTCCCCGAACACAACATCTCCACCACTGAAATCCCAGACACTGCATGGCCACCTTCTCTCCTCAGCGCTCTTTATATGCTTTGTATATGTTTTTTTCTTTCTTTCTTTTTTTTTGACCAACTTGCATTGCTCTGTGTATGAGAGAGATCGTGTGTTTTATCGATTGACGGACACTGCCCATTCACTGTAATTATGATTTAATTGTGCAATAATGTAAGTCTTCTCGGAAGTTGCATGCGTATGCGTTGCTCTAATAAACATGTGAATGCATTTGGCGCAGACAAAATTATTATTATTATTTTATTTAACTTAAATACAAGAAGAAATGTTACAATTTTAAAGCGCAACCTCTTGTCAAAACAAATTTGCTAGACAAGAGCAACTTTGACTACTTTTTATAGTCGTCATAAATAATTATAGCCAGGCTGATTATTTTTCAGCATGGATGAAAATCCATGACGCATGTAGTTCTGTCAGTTCCAAAATCTTCCAACAAGCCTCGTTAATAGATAATAAACTTCATACATGTTCTGTTCTGAATTGTTGTGTTAATATGGTGTAAAATATATCTAAGCAAATTTTGCAAAAAAAAGAAAAAGAAAAAAAAAGAAAAGCAGATTAGCATTGCATGTATTGGTATCAGCCATTAAAAAACCTGCTACAAAAATGACGGTGTCCGTGTTACATGTGATTTTAATTAAGTGCAATAGCAACAATACGTATTTACAAGCATGTGAATTACTCAGTACTTACTTGTAATGTAATTACTCTGCAAAACAAACATCAATGTGATCAAAGGGTGATCAAACAGGTTTTTTTTTTTTTTTTTTTGCCTGACCTGAAATACTTCTCTTTGTATAAAGAGAAAACTGGATAGAGCTAAAACAATGCACCACAGAAAACAAATTCTGTGTTGAAAAAGGCCTGAACTAATTTACTCTCTGAAAAAAACAGCAGTTTCCAAAGTGTCAGATTGGGATGACGATGCCAGTCATTCTCTGGATTCTGGTAAACCGTGATAAGGAAGTCAGTCAATAAGGGGAGTCTGGGGGTGGGAGATAAATTGAAAACTGGTCTTATAATCTTCTTAGCTGACTGCCTCCCGAAATAAAATACCCTTGCGGGGAAATCTAAAGGAACACTGTGCTCAGAAGTTAACTCCTATACAACCATAATTTAGTAGTCTGTAATTAGATGTTAAAGCATTCACAGAGCAAGAAGTCTTTAGACAGGATGAGAAACACTGATTAAGGATGACAATGGAAAGGTAGAAGCAGGTCTTTAGGACCGTCATCTCCAACAGGACCGTTGATCACGACGAACATCTTTGATGCTTCATAGAGTTGGTCATCATATCAGAAGGGTATAAAGAACATTTGGCTGGAGCTTTTGACCTTTTAGTCTGTAAAAAATGACCATGAACACACAGTGAAAAGTGCATAGTGTTAATACTTTTTCCTATCCCAATTAAATTGGCAGAGACGACTAACACGTGTATTTATGTATTTTATCCACAGTGACTTACAGTCAGGGAAAACAGTTTGCTAGAATGTTTGATCCCCGATCTATAAGCATTAAGCCTAGAGGAATGGTTGATTCTGCAAAGGTGTAGAGGATGATAACTATGAGGGAGATTTTGGGGGACAGGTGCTCAAGTGGAAAAAAAGGGCATCCTTCTCATAATTATTAATTAAAAATAAACTTATGTACTGTTGAACATCTTTTAATTACATGAATTAAAGGTGCTAAATGTAGAATTCAGAAAGCCTTGTTATTAGCGATCCCGGTGGCCATTAGGTGAAGTGCAGCAGCAGAATAATACTCGTGCTCGTAATAACTCAATGTGACTCAATGCCCTGAAATAATCACGTTCTTTTCGTTCTTCGCTCAGAAGTAAAAAGAAGTTGGAAATAACTTTGCAGCCATATACTGTTAACGAACGAACTGCTAAAAGCGACGGTTAGATGAATATGTAAATATGTCCTCTTTCCTCTCAATAACTAAATAAGTGAGAAAACAGCAGTTCAGAAAGCATCTGATCGTGATGTGAATGTTTGCACAAGCTCTGCGATTCACCGGCATCATGTCCACAGGAGAGCTCATTAAAATAAAAGTACACCGTTATGCTTGATTATAATGTATATTTGAGACTACAGTATATATGGCTCTGTGAGACTACAGTTTGAATGAATCCTTTTTTTTGTTTTGTTTTTTTGCATGACACATTGACATTACAGTCCAGAATGGCTCTTTCTTTTCCAGGCAAAAACATCCCTAATCCTTCACATAAAAAATGTATAGACAACCTAGGAAGTCGGGGAAGGTCTCATTTTTAAAGTTGTGTTACAAGCTGTCAGTGTTGGGTGTAATGCTTTAAAAGCAATGTGATTATGCAACCAGATTTGAATTCTTTTTTCAAGTAATGAGTAAAGTAATGGAAAATATCGGAGTTAATTTTTCAAAAAAGTGGCACATGTGATTTTGTTTTCCTATTTATTGACAGACAGCTTTCCTGTCCTCATGTTGAGAGAAAAAATGATAAAAAATGCAAACTCTGAAAATTACACAAACATGCAATAATTAAAAATGTTAAATAGCACAAATACACTTTATGTATTTAATCTCACTTTATTAACCAATGTCTTTGCTGCTGACCTTCGATGATCCAATTCAACCAAACTAATGAGCAAAAATGACTTTAAATAAACCACACTTGTGTTTCTTTTTTATTTAACCTGCTGAAGTACGAGTGTTAAACTTTCTTCTCCTGCGTCTTATTATTCTGCGATCCGAGCGGTTTGTTTGAGCTGTTTTGAGTCTTATTCCTTTCACTTTTGGTGTGAAAGGGCTTTTTTTGTTATTAAAAACAGACAAGCAAGCCCAGCCCAGGTGAGAAAAAGCAACGCAAACGTAAATGAACACATTACTTTTCATAAACAGTTACTAAGTAACACTAGTAGCTTTTTTAGAGAGTAATGCAATATTGTAATGGATTTATTTTTAAATTAACTTTCCCCAACACTACAAATTGTTCAAACATCTGCATAAATAAATAATAAAAATCCATCTTACAATTGCATAAATAATTTCATGAGATTAAAGTATTAAATATAACACAATTTGAATATAGAAATTATTACTATTAGGCTAAATATGGCCAACTAATTAACAATATCTCGGTACTTGATAAATGATCAGAATTATGCTTACATTTCCCTCATATCATAAGGGCCAATTCAAAAGAGAGGAAAAACTATTGTAAAGCTAATTTATGGCTAACATTAAACACGCAACTGTTCACCAATTACTTCTAGCAGCATGACTTCATATCCACGGCCACGCTATCTTGTTCCACTTCAGTAAAGCATCAGCGCAGTTGCACAAACCGGTGCTGTCGTTTGAGAGGCATCAAATATCAAACTTCTGCGTTTCATTCTCAACAGTATCGTAGTGGAGGGATGAGAAGCCTGAGCTGATGGCAGATGGCGAGCCAATGAGGGGTGAACTAACCTACTAATGATACAAAATGAAATTTTGCATTTAGAACCCATCTGGTTTATTCTCCCTCTGGGGAAAGAGAGCTCATACGTAGCCACACATTTGTGGACCTGTAGTGAGAATCAGAGTGTCTGGTGATTGTTGGTGGCACACATGATTACTCAACTGTGCAATGAATCTCATAACAGCAAAGGGTGGCAGTAATCTCCACCTTCTGGACCGGCTATATATCCCTCTGCATACTAGGGAAAGGCTTTCTACTGTATACAGTTTGGGTCCCAAATTATATACCCCTGTAATTATGTCATCTTTTATCGAACACCTGATCGTTAATGAGCGAGTGAGTTAGTTGCAAAATTGTTGAGATGTTGAATGTGAAGCTTAAAGCTCTAAAAAGACAAAACCCCCAAAACCAGACTGGAAAAATATGTCAAATATTGTCAAGCGGAGTGTTGTTTTTGTGACATTATTTATGTTTATATCCTCTATTAATTTGGTTTTAATGCTTATCAACAACGTGTGCTGTGCTTGATCTAGCTGTTTTATTATGTGCTGTTTGCACCATTGATATGGGATATGTGTGTACAGCACTTTGATGAACACTTGCTGTTTTAAAAAAGCACTTTATAAATAAACTTTGACTTGACTTGATCTGAGATTCTCAGTAAGAAAAGACTGATTCCTTCAACGTGCTCTTGTTTCCGTGTTCTTATAAAACACATGTACAACAAGGTGTACAGTAGTGGCCAAAAGTGAAGTACGGCTTCTTAATTTATTCAAATATTATTAAAGATATGTTTAAGGTTTTGTAAGCATATTTGTCCTTGTGATAATGCAATGAAACATGCCAAATTGTGCAGACATAATTTTTGGAAATTATGAACACACGCGAAAACAAGAGAGAACCAATGCAATATTAATAATTGATCATGTTGTATGCTTTTTCCTGACTGCTTTTTGCGTTTCTATGCATTTTTTTTTTGCTGTAGTTTGCCTTTTTTCTGCCAAATAACTGTCTCATAACCAAGTTTAAAGTTTTGCTCTTCGTAAAAATATAAATTATTTTCCTCATATATCAATGGTCTAATCGAGCTTGTAAGGTCATTAACAGCAAATATCCCCTCCAGACATCACCTTTGCTCACTATAACAACATCTTTGTCTCCATCCTTTAACTTAGTGTAACTGTAAAAAGTGGTGACTTACAACTGATACATTAAAGAGCTATTTCTACTTGATTTAGCTCATTAAAATGTGTTGGCTAAAATGACTGTTTTTAGGCTTATTCAGTTAATAATAATATTTTTGACTTGAATAAAACCATTCCTAATATCAAAATAATACTTGATTTAATGAATTTGCCAGCAAGAGAAGTCTGCAATCAGCAGAATTAAGATGGTTTAGGCCAACTGATAAAAGGCATCAGGAATTAACTATCCAGGGAACAATGATTCATTGCATTTGTCCTGTTCTCATCCAGTCATACACGATATATGTTTGGGAAGTTTGCGAGGGGAGACAACATTACTTCTTTCATCCATTGAGGCGTAGAAAGCAAGGC